TGCGAATTAAAACATTTTCTCGCCGTTCGTCGATTTTCAATTACAATTAACGCACCTCGGCCGATTCATCCGTAGCGATATATGTGAGGCGCGCATGCGCGCATCGAAAGTATGGCGCAGCCCCGGCATTAATCAGGGGAAACCGGGTCCGCGAAAGGGCATATTTTCTCGTTATCGCGATGCCGCTTTTCTGCACGATGAGGAATCCGTTTAAGAATGCATTATTAATAATCGTGCTCGTGTCCGCCCTACGAATTCCTTATGCGAGAGATAAATTCGAAATTCGCGGGCATCCCTTCGCGGCTGACTTTTATTTTTTCTTCTTACTCTCCCTCGCCATTCGTAACGTCTTCGCGCTGAGCTGTAATTTCGTTGCTTCTGGATCGTAGACCTCTTTGGCAAATTTGTAATTGTGATTTCCTATGTGGAAATTGATTATTGCTTGTGCAATGCGTATTGTGCGCGTACGCATAGGCCGTTGTGTAAGAGAAAAAAAAAAGAAAAAGAAAATTAAAAAGTAAGAAAGAAAAAAGGAAACGATAGATTCAATTATTCGAATCGAATAACGTCATAAATTATGAGCCTACGCTCTAAAGAATTCCCTGTTTGCGTTTGCTGTAAATGATAAATTTGAGTTTCCCATGTTCACGAAAAGTTGAACTCTGCAGCTCCCATAAAGATAATCCAAGAATTTTAATGGAAGAACTAAAATCCATTTATTGTAAAAGCATTCAAAGCACGTTTTATATAGAATTTTATTATGTTTTTGTGTGCGTGCGTGTGTGTGTGCGTGCGTGCGTGCGTGCGTGCGTGCGTGCGTGCGTGCGTGCGTGCGTGCGTGCGTATGCGTGAGCGTGTAATGTTAGTATGATGTGTATACGTATGTGCGTGTTTATCTCTTTATCAAGCGCAGATTCTTTCGATTTGAATTATGTTAATAAATTGAATAAAGATAAGTCTTTTTGATTAGCATCTTAAATATTTTTGCATAGTACAGATGGTAATTTATTAGCCAATAAATTTTGCGCAGTTCAACATTTCCTAGTTAGAAGGCAATTTTCTTATTGTAATGAATACACACACCCGCGCAGACACACCCACACACGCCCACCCACGCACACACAATAATACACAAACGCACACAAACGCACACAAACATACAGAAACACACATATATCCTAAGCTTACAAGTGATTGTTGACTCGAGAACTTAGGTCCATTCAATTATTGTATATATTATCTTGGAAATAATATTTCGATATTAAATCATTTTTTTATCAATTAAATCAATTGTTATCAGAAAAATTTTCCATTTTTTCCCTATTTTTATTGCTTAAAATATGCTTTAGGAAAATTATCCATTATTTAAATTTGTACTCTCATATTAAAATGTTTATTATAAAAATATGCAATGAATGTAAAATCAATCTTACCGCATAAATATCTTCATATATGTTCAATAGTTTCATAAACAAGGGAGCGTGTAATCTGATTCTGAAAATATCTATCAACACTTAAAAATTGCCATTGCAGTGCACTTTAAGTATAATAATGCCAATGAGCGAAATAATTTAATCGACATTTTAAACATTTACAAAATACATTTATGTTTTTATCATTCGATCAATTCGATTGTGATTACCTTAATGATTAAAGTTATGCTATTCATACGTAAATGTGTTTTCGATAATAAAATCATACTAATAAAATAAAAAAGGTACGTTCAAATTAATAATTATAATGTCGAGGGCTGGTGTCTTTATTTCTCAGATTCCCTCTTCACGATCGTCCAATAAACTTTGCTTTTTTTTTTCTTTTTTTTTTATAACACTTGTTAGAATTTATAAAAAAAGAAAGAAAAATGGTCAGATTTTGAAGTTTTACTGTCTTTTAATAATATAACAAAAATATTTTGATACACCAATAATAAGAATATTCAATATACTTGTACAATCTTATTATATATATATATATATACATGTTAAGTGAAATTGTGAAAATTACATGATCCTGAGGATAATAGACGCTAATGTATAATTTATTCATACTAGAAAATATGCGATTATCCATACGCAATTAAGTACATCGGAAACTTAATTTAGAAATGCTTTATACTTACAAAGATTAATCATCGATACATTCTAATAATTACATAAGCATTGTAGCAATACATAATTTACTCTTTAAAGCAAAGTAGAAGATAAATGTTAGCTTCCTTTTCTCCTAATGTTGTACGAGAGTGAGATGCGGAGGAAAGTGCTCGTTTCGAGTATTCCGAGGCGAATGGGAATGGGCGCAAGCGGGGCCATCCCCGTCGTCGTCGCGTCTCAATCGTCGTCGTTCCAGAAATAAAAGGAGAGGAAAATGTACCCATTTGCAAAGCAATAGCGCGAGGACGGATGGGGATGTCGAGCTCCGAGCCTCACGCGCTCCTTTAATAACGAGGCTCCAAAACGCGGCCGACTCCCACCGAACTCAAGGCCAATCGTGTATGTTGCAGGCGATCCTGTTCTATACGCCGCGATGGCTGTGGAAGGGTTGGGAGGGTGGAAAGATTCACGCTCTCATGATGGACCTCGACATCGGACTCTGCTCCGAGGTGGAGAAGAAGCAGAAGAAGAAGATGCTGTTGGATTATCTCTGGGAGAATCTGCGCTTCCACAACTGGTGGGCGTACAGGTACTACCTCTGCGAGGTGCTCGCCCTCCTGAACGTCATCGGTGAGTCCCGCTCTCTCTCTCTCTCTCTCTCTCTCTCTCTCTCTCTCTACCATTTTTTTTTCAATCCGACAATTATCATAAATCTTGGCGGGAGCGACGCGAGGCTCAACTCGCAAAATTATCCTCCGCGATTTTCCCATACTCGTAAAAATGCGATTCTTGGCTCGTCTTACACGACGGCGCTTATCGACTCGAAAATCACCGGCTCGCGCTCCTCTGATAAAAAAAAAATGGGGGGAAAAAAGAAGATAAAAAAAATGAAAAAAAGAAGAAAGAAAATGAAAGAAAAAGAAAAAATCGAGGATGCAATTAAGCGTCTTTTTCGGCTCTTCGCGGGCTGCGGAGTCGCGCCAGGATTCTTTCACTTCGACTGTTTTGCTCTTTCGATTATAAATTCGCGCGTCCCGATGTGCCGAGTGCCAGTGAAAATTCACATTCACCTCGCGATATCGACAATTAACAAGGTGATTGCCATTGAAATTTTCGGTACACACATACGGACACTCGAGGATGACTCGATCGAGTATTTCCTGCTCTCCCAACCCATCCCCGATTATACCTCGCTGGATCATCGAATTTATTTTATAATTAGTAATAAGTGTCTCACTGATGCAAATTCATGATGAATTTTATAAAGCGCTACGGGGACTTTATAAGTAAGCAGTTTTTTTTTTTTTTTTTTTTTTTTTTTTTTTGAAGCTGTACGGGATTATGGAATTATAGCGTCGGCGGTCGGCTGAAAAAATTGACTATTTGCATTGCTGAACTGAATTTCATCAGCGCGTAAGTTACGTAAATTTTGTTTTGCATCCGCGACGCTTTTTACCCACCGACGCCCAGTGACGGAAGATTCCCTCTCGCCTCGATGACGCGAGCGGATGGATGACTCAATCGCGACGTCAAGTCGCTTTATAAAGCGGTTAATCGCGCGCGCATGCGCGACCATGCACGAACGAGGACGGTCGAGGGAGTAAATTTGACAATCGCACGGCTGGCCACTGTCCTCTCTCACTCTCTCTCTCTCTCTCTCTCTCTCTCTCTCTCTTCGCATGGGACGTAAATTAACGAGTGACATTTACTCCCCTTGTCGAACGTAGCCGCTCATTTGGAAAATCATGGATACGTCGTTATCGAAGGTCATCGACGGTAAATCCGTTGGTTGGTCATCGGCGCTCTAATCGAGCGCCCGGGCAAATGGTGCCGCTATCGATATTTCTGCCGAGTAAACGATTGGCCGATTATTATTTGATGCGAATATTAAAGTGCGAATTCGTGGTTAATTTATTCAATCAAAGTCTTTAAATGGGTGTTTCTCAGCTGTTGGAGCCATCTATCATGGCTACGGTGTAAGCAGCCTATGTTAATGCGATAAGCCGTGTATAGATGTGCGTTTAGTAATTTTATTCACATTCATAAATGTTTAACGATAATCATATAAAATGTAATACATTGTACCAGATCACTAACATAGGCTTTTTTGTCTTTTGGTTTTTTGTTTATGTTTCGTTTTTTATTGCCGTTTTTATAATAAAATTATTTTGCCAACGGAGTGGGAATAAGTTTGCAGGAACAATTTATATTCCGTTGAAATAACATTCATCATCTAGCGTAATCTAAAATCCCGGCAAAAGACAAAAAAGATGTTAACATTGATATATCTTTACGTGCGTTTAAATTATGGGATGGAAGTATATTAAGCAAGAACAAAGTAGCGAAACTTCATCGAGCTTTGATCAATGCGATATTAGTGCAGCGTGTATTAAACTACGCTTAATGTGGCGAATTATTGATTGAATTCCCTAATGAAATTCTAAAGCAATTCGATGGAGCATAATTTTCTCGTTAAATTATTAATTATAGTCTTGATGCGCGAGTCGCTAATCGCTCGAAATTCCCCATAATAAAATAAGAAACGACAAGCCAACGGGAAACGAGCCTTTAACAATACGCAGCTCAAGCCCAATAAAGGCATATTACACAATGCGAAACGTCAACACTTGTTATTTATTACCCTTGCCAATATATATATATATATATATATATATATATATATATATCATACTTACACCCAATACCAACGATATAAGCATAAAGATAAAAAAAGGATGAAAAAAAAAAAAAAAAATGGCGATGACCATAAGTCTGGACTTACAGGCCAAATGTTCCTGATGAATCGCTTCTTCGACGGTGCATTTCTGACCTTCGGCATCGATGTCCTGCGCTTCCTCGAGTCGGACCAGGAAGATCGCGTCGACCCCATGATTTACGTCTTCCCACGCATGACCAAGTGCACCTTCTACAAGTACGGCGTTAGCGGTGAGGTGGAGCGTCACGACGCCGTCTGCATACTGCCCCTCAACGTCGTCAACGAGAAGATCTACGTGTTTCTCTGGTTCTGGTTCCTCTTCCTCGGGGTGCTTAGCCTCCTGACCGTCATTTACAGGGTAAGACCGACGCATCGTTCTATCACTTCTAGCCACCTCCTAGGCATCCCTTACCCCTCCCGACCCACCTCTCACCGGCCCCAATCACGGGCCGCCTCTCTACCTTCGCTCTTATCCATTTATGTAGAATACAGTTGGGAGAAAAGAGAAAAGGGCCCGGCACTACTACTACCAAGTGAAATATATCTGTGGACTGTATCATTAGCGTTTAATCGTGGAATCGAGAACGGCATGTCATTTTTATATCCTTGGAGGAAAAAAATGTCGGCCTTTTAAGGGGCCAGGCGAACAATGTACCGTTAAAATCGCGAGCTTAGCAGCTTAGCAGAAGCAGCAGCAGCAGCAGCAGCAGCAGCAGCAGCAGCAGCAGCAGCAGCAGCAGCAGCAGCAGCAGCAGCAGCAGCAGCAGCAGCAGCAGCAGCAGCAGCAGCAGCAGCAGCAGCAGCAGCAGCAGCAGCAGCAGCAGCAGCAGCAGCAGCAGCAGCAGCAGCAGCAGCAGCAGCAGCAGCAGCAGCAGCAGCAGCAGCAGCAGCAGCAGCAGCAGCAGCAGCAGCAGCAGCAGCAGCAGCAGCAGCAGCAGCAGCAGCAGCAGCAGCAGCAGCAGCAGCAGCAGCAGCAGCAGCAGCAGCAGCAGCAGCAGCAGCAGCAGCAGCAGCAGCAGCAGCAGCAGCAGCAGCAGCAGCAGCAGCAGCAGCAGCAGCAGCAGCAGCAGCAGCAGCAGCAGCAGCAGCAGCAGCAGCAGCAGCAGCAGCAGCAGCAGCAGCAGCAGCAGCAGCAGCAGCAGCAGCAGCAGCAGCAGCAGCAGCAGCAGCAGCAGCAGCAGCAGCAGCAGCAGCAGCAGCAGCAGCAGCAGCAGCAGCAGCAGCAACACTAGCCACTATGTAGTTGTATTCGCTCTAATGTATTACGAGTTGAGCCGAGGAGGCTTAGAATTTAAACAAATTCAAACGTTGTATGTAGATGTGCAAGCAGCGTCCTAAGCGCATAATTTCAGGCATTTTTCCCGACTCGACTCGACCCAACTTCCTCGGATTTTCAATATTTTTTTTCTTTTTTTTCTTTACTCTCCCATAGTTTTCAGCTACGTTATATGTCGATAAATACATTCTATTTTTTAAAATTCGTGTAAAAATTCGGCAATAATAATCATTATATACCGTGGCCGACTAAATTGCTCGAATTTTTCATTTTCCATTCATCCGATAAGCATCCCTCGGCGTAATTTACGCAGCTGACCGTTTCATTACGGGAGCTATGACATATAACCAACTATAAAAGTCGCCGAGCGTTATTATTGAATGTTATTCAATAATAGTGGTGCAAGTCGCATAAAAACAATAGGCGCGTCAAACAATATCGATAATGGTGAATGGAGAAACTTTACTTTGCCGAAAGCGTCGATAAATTTTCGATCCGGCAACATCTCATTATTTCCCACACGACATTGTGAAGTTAATACAAGTCGATGGAGCCCATCAACAGTAAATTTAATATAATCGCTTTGAAATTTTAGACTTTGGTAAAATATTCGACGCGGAATGTCCATGCTGAGCAGAGCCACGTTACGTTACGGCGTATCGTAAAATAATATTAAATAATGTTTTAATTAAAAAATAATTCCGTAATGTGCGAGGAGGATGAAAATTTCTATTATGCTGACGGCGTTGGTGAGTGAAACGATTGCATAAACAAGATGCGACGCCAGTCTGGCTACAATCTGTCGCTGTAAATTATCAGCCGTTAAAAGGGATGAAAATCGGTTGTGGTGGTGGTGGTGGTGGTCGTGGTGGTGTTTGGGGGGGGGGGGCGGAGGCGGTCGAGTAGGTGAGTCTATCGAGCAAATACTTATGTAATCGCGCATATTGCGCTTTCGACCGTCAATATGGCTTTTGGCTCTTTATCTTTCTTGTTTTTTGTTGTTGTTGTTGTTTTTTTTTTTTTTTTTTTTTTTTTTTTTTTTTTTTTTTTTTAACATGCGGTCTATGTTTTTGGTTCTTGTCCGAGTACGTCGCGTGTGCATTAGAAAGACGCTGATATCGTTTAACCGATCGTTCTACCTGGTAGACACGCGCTATCAAGCCAATTTTGAGAGCCTCTTAGTTGACTGCGCTAAGGACTTTGCTTATTAAGTAGATTATGCTGCTTAAATAAGCTCGTTAGATAGGCTGGCTTATTTCAGCAAAATTCTCTTAAGCCTTAGCGACCTTCCACCTTATTTACGAGAATTCATTTTAATCCTTGCCGACGCGTTATAATAACAAATAAGACTGGGATACTATTATTATTATTACTATTACTATTATTACTATTATTATTATTATTATTATTATTATTATTATTATTGTTGTTGTTGCTGTTGTAATTGTTATTGTTATTGTTATTATTATTATTATCCTTTACCTCTCGTTCGTTTCCTTCTCTCGTCACATTTAAGCAGCGACCTCTTTGCTTATTAATATTTTATACGCTTACGTCTTATTAGGCCTTAGTAATGCACATTCACAAGCCAGCGGCTCGACTTCATTACGCAATACTTAGACTTTCTTGTTATATTGCTTATTGGATATTAGCATTGGGATCGTACTTACGCCGATAATGCCATAACCTGACAATAGATTATGAAATAACCAGTGGTTTATTATTGCCGCGTGTGCTCCATTTATAAAGTTATGAGAATGGTTAGAGGTATAATAAAGGAGAAAATTAACTCGAGCTCGGGACTGAAAATTTATTCTCGGCTAATCATGCCAATATCGCTTAACATATTTCTCTATAAAATTCCACGGTAGTTAAATAGGCTTACACATTCTTATAATAATACATTTTATATTTTCGTGCATTATAGAATACTCGACATTATTGTGCATTCGTGTTTGAATTAATTTCTCGGACTTTGAGAGGATATAACGATGTTAAGCTTGTAATAATCAATTTCCACGCACTATCTATATATAATGCCACGTATTCTCCATGTAACAAGGATTTTTCACCGAGCACTCGCGGCGATCGAGCGCACTCGGTGGCAGTAGGATCGGCGCGGTGGGGTGGGGGCGGCTACAGGAGCTGGGACGGGAAGGGCTCGAAGCTTCCTCGGCTCGCTCCCGTAACGCCAATAAGCGATTCAACGTCTCCCGACTCCCGACTCCCGACTCTCCCCACAAAGCTTCTAATAGCGGCCGGAATAAGCGACCCCCACAGAGACAATATCGACGTAAGTCACTCCGCGTCGATTCGCGCGTATCCTTCACGGCCAACGAGGAACATTCCGCGAGATGCCCGAAGCGTAAGCAAAGCGCGCCCCTTCCTCCGACTAGGCTTTTCAGATTAATCGGGCATATTAGCCACCCGGACGGTACGAGGCGTATCGTAGCCGAAGCTTTCGAAGAAATCGCCTCATTGTCCCGACGCATCGACGTGGAGAGTGGATACATCAAAAGGCTTCGCAGAAACTGCTGCATCATTAACAAGATAGCGAGGAGCATGGAAATACTCATAAAGGCCGCGGATCCAATCTGGATGCTATTGCGCGTGCCAGCTGAATGTCGACGGCATGAATAGGCCGACTGACGGTATTGCTTACAAACTCGTATCCTCAATAGAGTTGAGCTCGCGCACGTCCTACGAGGATACCTGGAAAACTCCCGGCCAGCTCGCCGTGGCAATGAAAGGCTTTTTACCCGAGCCCCTATCGGCCTACGGCCTCGTTCCGGCGTCCTCGCCGTGCGCGACGCGGACGGCGGTGGCCGGGGATCGGAGGAGGGAATTGTAACAACGCAGCGGATATTGTGGGTAGTTGTTAAGAGGATAGCGATGCTTTCGTTATCAAGCCTGGCCTGGTCTGGCCGCTTTGGCATAATAATTGCCATTAGTTTTTCGCGGGTCACAGGGATGGATCGCATAATCCTTGACGATCGATCTTAATAATTATGTATCGTAAGTATAATTGATTGAGTGTGTGTTTGGATGGGCGCCTTTGCGCATCTCCCTGTTAACGAGAGATTTTCAAAAGCTTTTCCGACGCTTGTCATTAAGGCCTTGCTTGCAACTTCATCGGGCCCCCTCGAC